ATCTTGAACTCCTGGCTCAAGTGATCCTCCCTCCTTGGCCTACCAAAGTGATGGGATTATAGGTGTGAGCCACCTTGCCCAGCCCAAAATAGTGAACATCAACAAGACTATTTGTTTTCTTTCTTTCTTTTTTTTTTTTTTTAAGATGGGGTCCCACTATGTTGCCCAGGCTGGTCTCAAACTACTGGGCTCAAGAGATCCTCCCACCTTGGCCTCCCCAAGTATTGGGATTACAGGCGTGAGTCACTGCACCCAGCCTCTATTATTGTTAGCAACACATATTATAACTATAGCAAAAATATAGCTACAGGAAACTGAGGCTCAGAGATGCCTCCTTTTGGATCACACAGCTATTAAATAATAAAGCTGGCACATGGATCCAGATCTACCTTCATCAGAAGCCACACTCTTTTTTTTTTTCTTCAGATGGCACATCTAGGACTCCTAATGTGGTTATTAAAAGGAAATGGAACCTCTAAAGTCCCAACACAGAAAAATGCCATATTATGTAGAACAGTATGCATAATATGATCTCATTAAAATTTTTTTTCCAGCTAATTAGAAACTTCTCTATTACCACCTCTGATCCTTGGATATTCCTTTCTCATCTTCTTTTTCATCCATGTCTCCTATGAAATTACCCTGAGAACAGGGGATCCCCATAGCATAGCACAGGGCAAGATACATAACATCTAAGATACATAACAATTTTTTTTTTTTTTTTTTTTTTTTTTTGAGACGGAGTCTCGCTCTGTCGCCCAGGCTGGAGTGCAGTGGCGCGATCTCGGCTCACTGCAAGCTCCGCCTCCCGGGTTCACGCCATTCTCCTGCCTCAGCCTCCGGAGTAGCTGGGACTACAGGCGCCCGCCACCACGCCCGACTAATTTCTTTTTGTATTTTTAGTAGAGACGGGGTTTCACCGTGTTAGCCAGGATGGTCTCGATTTCCTGACCTCGTGATCCGCCCGCCTCGGCCTCCCAAAGTGCTGGGATTACAGGCTTGAGCCACCGCGCCCGGCATACATAACAATTTAACATATTTGTTAAATTGAATAGCATTGAATTTTTTTAAATAAATAATTTATCTTATTTACTTAGTAGATAATAGCTATCAGTAGATAATATAAAAATAAGGGGAAAAATCAAATAATACAAAAACTTACTCAAAGGAAAGTAGTATTCCTTCCACCCCATTCTCTAGACACCTAGCTCCTATCCCAACAGGCAGCCATGCTGACCAGTTTCTTGTATATCCGTCTAGAGATAGTACAGAATTGCACTGAATTTTAGTGCAATTTAAATTCATAGCCAGAGTATTAGAGAACAGAGGGAAATGCTTTATAAAAATTTAGCCAGTGTGATTTCTTTCCTGAGAAGTCACCAATTTCTTTCAAATCCATATAAAGGAGAACTCAAATGTAAACTCTGTGAGAGTGTGTGTGTGTGTGTGTCTGTGTGTGTGTGTGTGTGTGTGAAGACCAATATCAGAGAAAGGAGAACTCAAATGTAAACTGCGCAAGGAGAACATCAGAAAAAGGATAACTCAAATGTAAACTCTGTGTGTGTGTGTGTGTGTGCGCGCGCGTGCGCACGCACCAAGACCAACATCAGAGAAAGCTGCTAGTTTACTGTGTTTGTGAATGCCTTCAGGTAAAACCACCACTCAATTCTGTGCATTCCTATTTATAAATATCTCCCCACCTTGCAGCTGATCTTATGACCCATTTCTTTCTATTGTTTGGCCTGAGATCTCACTTTTATTGTGTAATTCATTCCCTAGCCATGGAAAGAGTCAGTGTTCTGTGACTTGAACATGACAAAGGACTTTTCCTTTCTTTCAGCGAGATGTCTGAGGTCACTCTAACGCAACTTACCATAGTCTGAAGGGAGAAACTGCTTTCTGGAGGAAGAAAGACAATAACCACTCTTCCCAGTGTGGTTTTTGTCAGACAGATGTCCACAACAGCCCTGGCAGACCATTACCTAATGCTTTCATGATGGGCCCTCTAAGGGATGTGGAACTTGGCACTGTGTTCTCTCAGATTGCTAACCGCTCTTGTTACACGAGCTTTTGTCATGGCATGGCATATTCAGACTTTGACGTTGCTTAGAAATGACAGTAGAAATTACATAAAATTGTACCAATGGTTCTATGCTTATGCTTGCAGATGAATTGATATCAAAATATTTATAATTTCTACTTTATTTTGAATATATGGATTCACATGTCTTTATCATAGTATTTTTCTAGTTTCCACTTCCACACATTAAATCATATACATTTTATTTCAAAAAGGCAGAAAAAAACAGACTGAACCAAAGATTCAACCCAGTACACAGGTTTTCCCAATGATTTTTTTTTTTCACTAAAAGCAATAAAAACCTAGGAATTTGAAAACTAGGTAATAAATATAGCTCTTCTCATCTCATCTTTGGGGAAAATAATTATCTCCATCCTTGCTAGCATATTTCTTGCTTTTTCTTATGCTACTGCAAATAAATTAAGAGTTGGTGTACAGACACATTCTTTTCCTCTCTCTTAAGACTGGTAGACATGGAACCCAGTGACAAGCTAAATGGAGCCTTTATATCCACTGAGCCCTCAGTGGAAGACACACTAACAGATAACTGAAGGGTTCTTCCTTCTCTCCTAAATCTGTTTGCTCCTAAGTTGTCTATTTGCTATTCCAAGTCTTTGATGTAGACTCAGTGGTCTCTTGGACTGTCAATGAGCTCTTTTTATGTGTTTCTTTGTTAGTGCCTTCTTCTTGCTGCTTCTGCCTCCTCAGTTTCCATTAGTAAAGCCAACCATGAGGGCACCCGGCCAACTTATCTACCCTAGCTCAGCCAACTCTTATTGCAGTTCTCACAAATCTTAGGAAAGCCCTCATTGGGTAAGGAATGATCCCAGAACTCCTAGAGAAAAACAGACTTTTAAATACTGGCATTATCTTCCTTTTATTAGAGATGTTATTGCTTTGTACTAGTCACTTAGGAACTTCCTTCTCCATCAATCTGTCTTCCATGTTTAAGTTTTATGACTTTCCATTCCTCTGTTCTTGAATGAAACATTTCTGTCTTAGAAATTCAACTCTTCTGGTGTTTACAACACCATTTTGAATGGTGTTTCTCCGTCTTTTTCAAATATACTCCAGTATAACTGAGCTCTATTTATTATATGTACAGGATCATGAATTATAAATGAATATTTGTTAAATGAATGAGAAGGATGTGGCTTAACGGTCTATAGGAGAACTGTAAGTTTTATGTTGAGTTTAACTGGGTAAATCATACAGTTAAATGACAATGCTATGTGAATGCATCTAGCATTGCTGGCTAACTGGCCTTCATTAACTTATGAGGGTATTTCTCTTCCTGACATCTCTTAGAAGATGTCAACTAGCATTAGAGCAGAGGAAGAATAGAGTGGTTAAGAGAATGGCCTCTGACACTAGACTGAATTTGACTTCCAGCTCCAGAGTTTGCTAGTGTTGTGACTTTGGGCAAATTGCTTGATGTCTCCACAGTCAGTTTCATCTACAAAATGAGGAAGATCATAGTAATCATACATTCCCACTCGCTTCATAGGCTTGTTTGAGGATTAAGTGAGCCGATATAAACAAAACTCCTACAGAGTAGCTGGAATAGTACTATACAAATGTTTGCAATTATTACTATGCAGCTATTTCTTGGCTTGGCAATGACTTTGATTCAGAGTGAAAACTGAGGCAAGCAGACTGCATTCTGCATTGACTTCCAGGACGATGATGTGGGACTGAAATACTTCATCCAGGAAAATGTTCAAGCCTGGAAACCTACTGTGGAAAGCCATTACTTCTCTGGGTCAGTTAGGCTATGTTCTCTTTGAATATCTCTAAAATTAATTGAACCATCATTTATCACCAGTGATTACTAATGGAAGAGAATCATGTTAAAATGGGAGGTATCTGAAGTCTTCTGACACACTCTCCTGCTATATTTCATTTGTCTACAATTTAAGAATTCAATTTCCTTGAAAAATGTTATAATTATATTTACACACTACAGAATTTTCTTAATCTTTATTAAATCATTACCTCTTTAAAGTTGATGGAAATCTTGGCAAACTCCAAAGTAGAGATTAAAACTGTACTGAATGCTCTTTTTTGGTGGCAAATTGGTAGGTTAAGTTAGAGCATTTTTACAACCTGCCTTTGGCTTGTATGTTTGTCAACCTAAGGATTTCTGTATTGGTTTGGTCAAAAATTCCAAATAAGTAGGTTTTTTCAGCTATATTTTAAAGTAGGACCAATGCCACCCATAAGTAATAAACGATAACTTTTAAGATCAATAAACAAAACAGTAATATTTTATTAGTACAGATTGCTGTCAACCCTGCTAAATTAGTAAGAGATGGAAATGACTCAAAAAAAGGTATAGCTGGTTATGGCAGGCTCTGCAAAGCAATGAATGAAAGAGATCTGTGTTAACATTTTCCCCAATCTACCTTTCCCAGTTGCTGGGTGACAGAGTGCAAACATATAAAGGATTCGGCCTCTGTGTCTAAGTCTTGATACTTAGCTTCAAGTCAGCATCAGTTAGAATATAATTATATTTGGAACCAACATCTCATTTTAGGTGTACTAATTGTATAAATTAGTTTTAAGTGGAACTGACATTGTATATAATTACATTTTGGCCAAATCTAGCATGCTTGCTTTGTCATGCCTAATGATGAAATTATCGCTTCTTTCTCCTTATATGAAATAGGAAAATATTGTATTTATTTTTTTCTCACACAATTGATTTGCATAATGCTTAATGATGCCTAATGATGTGTTTATGATATATTCTTCCAAACATGCCCAGACAGTCATTTTTGTGGAGAAAAATCATCAAGCTCAGAGGAAAGCCTAGGCTATCATTTTGATACAACTAGTTCATCTGATAATATTCCCCGGGCAGCCAGATGCCCCAGAGAAACAAGATACAGGTTTGTTTGTTTTTAATCAAATGACTCACCCACAATGACAGCGGTGACAGTGAGTAGCACAAAAGCATTCCGAAACAGGTAACTTTTAACATCCTCCTTTGTGATGTTCTGCACTTTCTTCTTGGCCAAAAGTGTGCGTTTACGGACTCCCTGCTGGAATCTCTCCATCCTGCCCCCCATCTTGGGCTCTTCTCCATTGCTTTTAGTCATATTTTACTTTTCTAGGAGTGTCTCTTCTTTGCACTTCAGTGTCTGGGAATCACCCACAGAAAGCCAAACCTCCTCTTTGGTATTAGAAAACACAGCTAGAATGGGAGAAAAAGAGACATGAGTTATAGCCTCCAGGGGTGAGAAATCAGTGCTGCTCTACACCAGGCAAGCTCTTGGCAAATTGCATAATCTCAGCAGGAATCAAGGACTGGAGAGTCACAATACCAGACTTCAAGGCTGCAGTGTGCATATTTTAGTGGACCACGTGTGGGAAATGTGCATAAATTCGGAATATATATGCAGAACTTATGTTCTATTTTCTTTTTAAAAATCCATCCTTCCCTCTCCAATGAGGCTATGAAAGGGTTCTTCAGAGCTGGATCTGACTGAGAACCCCTATCCCCTATCCCCCGCAGAACCCAGCCCATGCCTTGCACAACGTACACACTCAATAAATGTCCAATTGAACTGAATGCACAGAAAGTACTCAATCATTACTTGACAAATTATGCTGTATATATGATTGAAGGCACAACCAGGTCAATAAAAATAATTAAGATATTGATAGGTGGAAGTTTCTCTATTATATGTAGTGAAGTAACCAGCTATTTTCTTCATTAAAAAATAATAATATCTACTAGTAAATATGGTCATAAAAAGAACACAAGTGCCCACAGTACACGGGAAATACATGTGACTATTTTACAGGGTAATTTTTTCATTTTTTTTCCATGAAATAAGCAAAGTGCTCTGGGCACATCTATAAATCATCTGAAATCACAATTCAGCTTCTTTTTTTTATCACAAGTAGACGTATGAAGTAGCGTTTTTCTTTGTGACACACATGCTGGAGTCTTCCAAGGAAACCATCGCTGACTTTTTAGCATTTTAAGATTTAGGATTTCTAGAACAGATGAGGAGATGAAACCAATTTTCATTCCAAACATTACAGCGTGTGGTTTCTGGTTTCTTTAAACCACTCAAGCTATTTAACTACATTTCAGTAAATCTCTTTCCTGGTGGAAATCAGCTGTTCTGAAAAATCAAGGGATTCCTCCTGGTGCTTTACAGGAGTTCTAATCCATAGCCCTTCCCATAATCAATCCGAGTGAAAACCAGCCGTACCCTGGTTGTGTGTCGCTGCCAACGCAAGCAGCCAGCGTGTGCGCCTGTGGGGGAGGTAACTGGAAACCAAAGGACTCCTCGCAAATGACTCCTCGCAAGCTTTTAGCAAATCCCAGTGCAGGAAGAAAAAAAAAGACTTAACAGTTTGCCTTTTAAATATAATTGCAAGTTGGGGTCAGTGATATTAAGACTTATAATTTGTTTAAGACGTCACACCGGATTAAATGCTTAGCGAGAAATGAAGACTGGGAAGTAGGAGAGACCAGACTTTTTTTTTTTTTTTTTTAACTAATAGCTCTGATTTCTCTTACCAGTCACTTTTAAGCAGATCCGCTCAACTTTGATCCTTTTCTAGATCTCGCGCCACAGTCTGCCCCCAATCCACCCCGAATGACTCAACTCCAAATTAGCAGAGGACCCGGCATAAATAGACACCACACTCTCACGACGTGAGATGACTAACATGGACTTTATCTACCAAAATGGCTAGCCTTGATTCAGGCTACTCCTCTGCTTGGAAGGCAAAATAGATCGGCAGAGAAGTGAAAGGAGAAATTAAACCCAGCAGGAACACAGAATGTGACACTTACCTTTTCTGATTTTGTAAGGGGTGAAAGATAGCAAGCAGTGACGAGGTGAATTCCCCAGCAGGTACAACAGAGCAACAATCCGCAGCGCGCGTAAGCAGGCAGGCTAGCCCTGACAGTGTGCATGTGCTCTGAGACTGCAAGTTACTATCAGGGCAACTTAAGAAAAGGGGAGGAGTCTGTACCCGGGAAAGGAGGAGCGGGGAATGGAAACCGCACAGGGGAGGAGGGGGAAACCGCGAGGTTTCTGGAATATTGATTAATCTTGGCACACCAGAAGCAGGCTTGCTGGCTTTGTTTTGCTCCTCAGACCGCTTTCACGCGTTGTCAGTTCACTGTCATTAGAAATGCAAAACCGGGACTAGCAAGAATTGAAAAATAAAGCGCACACAATCGGAAAGCTGAAAGTCTTGATTAGAACGTTTCAAAGACTTTTCTAAGGCTAAATTTAATTACCTCATATTACTGCAGGTTGCCTCCCCTTCAGGAAAGACAAGGGTGTGCTCTTTAGCCTGGTTGTACAACTGTTACGAAAAAGTCCCTCTTTTTCGAATAGGGGAATTAACTGACATTTCTTGGGAAGACCCTGAATGCAGACAAGTATGGAGAAAACAATAATGCTTACTACGATTCTCTAAACTTGTATAAAGTTAGGGACATGCCTCTATTTTAGCAGTTTAAACTTCAAAACTTCATTATAACAAACCTAATTTAGCTCAGACTGCCTGTGTTGCAGAGACGGAAAAGGTAGCAAATGTAAGGAGACTGGAATGTTTGCCAAACTAGAAAATGAAACGCATTTTAAGACCAAGAGTGCAAAGCACACTTGAGATCTGGTGATTTCAAAAGATAAGTTGCTGTTCAGATGTCTCAATTTTAAAGGATGCTAAATGTTCTCCCTGCCACACACACCATTTTTAGAGCTAAAAAATTCTCATTGCCTTGGGAATGTGACTTGCACTTTTAGTCCACTTTTCTTAAAAGAAAAATAAATTGTGAAAATAGATATTAGAAAATAAAAAAAAAGTTTTTTGAGCTGACTTATTCCCAAAACTTTAAGCTTATTTAGTAGGAAGAAAATGGTTTATTAGAAACAAAAATTTATACCAAAATCACAGCCTGAGGTTTGAATTCCTGTTCACTCAATTTAGTATTCCCCATGCAAAATATGCTCAATTATTGGTCTATTATTCAACAAGAAAGTATGTCTTTTTTCCCCTCAATACAAATCTCTGGAGATCATAAAGAAATATCTCCTTTTACCTTCAACTGTATGTCCTTTTGAACAGCTACTGGTTGGAAAGCAATGGTGAATCATGTCAACACTTTAAAATTACAAATTAGCAGCAATTATAACAGCTTTCTAACATGCTATCATTTTAAGAACTTATTGAAAATACAGGCTTTTGACATTCCCAGCCCTCAGTGACCTTTCCCTTCCTCTGATCTCCTAGGTCACTGAGCATCTATACTGCATTGTTTAACACTTAATTATACCATGTTTTGTACTGCATCCTTCTTTTAAAGCTCATGTTAGGTTTTGGCTTCTCAACTAAATTATAAGTTCTTTGAGGGCAAGAACCTGTCTTATGCCTGATACAGCGTCAATATTAAGTAACTCTTTTAAGTGAATGGAATAATATTAGGATGTGAAACAAAATGCTTTTCAATCTTTTGTGTTAATATACAATTACTAGTTTTTACATTGGTGCCTCTGGCTTAGGTGCATGGAACCATTTCTCAATGCCATGACTACTTTTAAAAGCATTTATTTACTATACCAGGTCCTATTTGAGCCATGGGTTTAGGATTAATTTGAACCCCCCCCAACTTTTTTTTTTTTTTTGTAGAAATGACTTTGATTTGTATTGCAAGGGAACTTGAAAGAGAAATCTGATTTTAAATGGGGTTTCAAGCCCACTGGCATTTCCGTTTTTTGTTTTTATTTTTTTTTAATAGGCAAGAAAAAGGGCTGGAAAACCACACTTTGGTTAGCATAGAGATGGGAAGACCCTGGTGCCCTTTCTTTTTTACTTTTTTTTTTCCTCTCTAATCCCTAAAGCTTGGTTAAAAACCATTTCATTATTTCAGTTTGTGTAGAATTATGGGAGTCTGGTATTCTGTTGAGAAGGGAAGTAATTCACCACTGAAAGTTTTGTTGGCTGTAGTAAAACCTAATGAGAAAATGAGATGCAAAGAGTGTCAGTTCAGAGTTCATCCGAATTTTAGTCTGGAGGGAAACATTGGGAATTATTTCTTTAAGCACCACTTTCTCTTTCTGGAAAGCTATAGCAAAAATAATGCCCTGGGGGCCCCCTGGGTTTCCTCAACACGTATTTCTACCTTTTCCTCTCTACTTTACAGTTAAGTCCCTTGAGCTTTAAAACATCTTTTTTTTTTTTCCTTCATAGAAACACTAAATAAATGAAAGATCAAGAAATTATGAACAAGCCTCTGCATGCTGTATTTCATTCAAAGCTACTCAGGGTGGGAGACACAGAGCTGGGGGATCATATTAACGTTAGTATTATCAAATGAGAAAAACACAAACACCAGCAGCAAATGCTGTTCCTGCTGAAAAAATCTGCCAAGATCTTTCTTTGAACATTGTGTGATTAAGTATGTTATAGGTAAATTCTTTCTTTTGAGAAAAAAAATGTCAGTATAACAAGAAATAACCAAATCCAACCTGTCCTTAAAGGGAGCATTTATTGGTTTGAAGAACAAGAGATTACGGTAATAAGCATGCACTGATCTTAGCGTGGTACAGGCCAGTCGAACTTCACTATTCAAAATTAGGAAATTCTGGTTAATTGGATTTTTTTTGAGCAACAAAATGGATTAGAAAACCTTTTAATCTTTTTTCAATATTTTCCACGTTGATTTTTAATTTAATGACAGTTTTAAAATCAATCCTTGTTTAAATAGCTTGCATTTCAGGATCATCAGAATATCAATTCCCCTTCTAGAATTTGGAAATTGTAGAATACTAAGACAATGAACAAGACCTGACTTAACCCCAGAGTGTAACAGTGGATGTGTTAGAGGCAGTAGGTGTAGAAGAAATTGTGGTAGTTGTAGTAGTAGTAGTCTTCCATTTTGTCTTGATTTTTTTTCTTCTTAAATATGAATGTAAAAAGCATAACAATAAAAAAACCTGTGGTGAAGTCTAGTTAGTTGAATTTTTAAATAACTGGGTTTTATTTTAAAGTCATAGTCACATGAAGCTTAAAAACATCCAACTACAGAGAGGTGAACTAAAATTAACTTTATCACATTCATTTATTCGTTCAACAAACATTGAGCAACCACTGTGCTCCAAATACCACGTTCTTTCCTCAAGGAGCCCATAAACACATCGTAATTATTAAGCAGTGGGCCAGGACAGGGCCCAACAGAAAGTTATGAGATTGCCGTGTGCTGAGGCCTATTTTCCAGTTAGTCTGTCAAAAAGACTGGTAGCAACTTGAGGGAAGCAGCCGCGCCTGGATCCACATTGTGTACACTGTTTCTAGCAGGTGCCTGCCCATAGCAGGCATAGCGTGGCATGGCAGGGAGCCAGTAGCGGTTCCTGCTGGAGAACAGGCCAGTAGGGGCCAAATTTACAACTTGAACTCCACTCCTAGTCAACGGGGAGCCAGCCACAGGATTTAAGCAGGGGAGTAATTTTCATTTTAGGTAAAATGCAAAGCCTTGAAGTGACTAAGACTTGGGTTAGGAAGTCAAGGGGCAGGAGGAGCATTTACAAACTGGGTGAGTTCACTTTCACATTGAAAAATACTCACCATTTGAGAATACTGAGGCCCTTTAGGGGTCGGCTGACACTGAGCCAAGGCTGCCTACTGTAGGTGGAGTGTGCACTGTCCAGCCCACTAGGCCTGCCCACTTCACTCAAGTTAGTTATCAGCATGTGGCTCTAGCAAGTTCTTCTGTTTTGACCTGTGATGAGGTTTCAGAAGAGGACTGAGCAAGGGCAGAAATCTAAGGAACCCCAACACAAAGGTGAAGACCAGCAAGAGGAATTCCCCGATATAGATTCCCACATGGCGAGAAGTTACACCAACTGTTCTTTTTATCACAAGCGAGCCAACAGGTGGACACAATGATGCCTTAAAAAACAACATGTTTTCTCCATTCTAAAGCTAAAGAGGGTCTGCTTTTTAGTGAAGGCTTCACACATGTTATTGTTATCAATTATTATTTATATTGAAAAGTGACATTTTCCCCAGTTGCTCAACATGAGTCAAGCCTTTGTAGAACCAAGAATATCAGTTTAGCTGGGAAAGATTATGTAGGTTGATTGGAATTCAAGCCTTCAGCAGACATTTTTATAAGGCTTTATAGTTTTATAAGTACTTCTACACACATTATCTAATTTAATCTTCATGATAATACTTTGAGGTATATTCTACTCTATTATTACTTATAGACCCAGATGTTGGAGATCAGTAGGGATTGAGTAACATGCTGAGGATTATAGTCAGTGCTAAGACAAGAGTTCTTCATATTGATTTATCATCTTTTCCCAAAAGAAGCCCCCAGGTGTTTTTTTAAAGACAGAAAAGAAAGGAAAGAACATTAAAAGGAAGGCCTACCATCTGTCATTTCTTCTGGGGAGTCAACTCTAATCTTCTCCCACTCTCCAAATCCAACAGGCTTGGTTGCCCTTTCTATGTGCTCCCAAGGCCCCCTGGGTTTAAATTTCCAGAGTCATTACCACTTTGTGCTGCAATTCTCCCTGTCTAGACTGTAGGGTCTTTGAGCACAGGGCCTGTATGGATTACTACTGGTTACTCAGGAACCAGAATGAAAGGTGCTCAGAAAAGAGTTGCTGCACCAATAAGCAGATGCAACACAGTCACAAACATGAGAGGGTTCATCTGTCTATTTCCAATCCTAAGACTTGGAGAATGGAAGTCAGTAAACATCAAACTTAAAAGGAAAAAAAAAAAAAGCCAATGAGTTCCTTCTTCAATCATTACAATGTAAAATAGATCCCAGTGTGGCTGCTCTAATTGAATGTGGGGTGAGTGGGAGTCATAGCCTTTGTCAGCGTCCCCCTTTTCTTGCCCCCAAGTAGCTCCCTGGGTGAGGCACCTCCTTAATGTGTGGATTCTACACATCACAGCTGGGAAGCGAGGATGAATGCAGAAGTCAAGTCAGTTTGTGCCATAATTCCTTACTGCCAAGTTCAGGTTTCGAACCTCAATCTCTGGGCTCCTGGTCCCATGTGTGCAGTCACTAAGCCACATGCTCTCCCTTCCCAATTCTGAATGTCATCCATAAAACTAGGTTAGACCAGATTGTTTTTCTCAAGTCGCTTTCCTGATTCGAAATCATGTCATGCCAATAAAGGGCTTGCCATATCCACTTTGGTCTGTTTAG